CCGGTCCAGAAAGTGCTCGCCAACCATTCGAAAAAGCCCTGTGTTTATATATATATACACACACACATACATACATACATATATATATAAAGGAGCAGATAATAAGAGGATTCGTTTACGACGCGTCGTAAAGCAGGACGAACGCCGCCAGCTGCGGACCTCGTAAATATCAGTCGGCGGTGTCCGGGGCTCATGAATTTATGGACTGGCCCGCGATATCCTTGATAAGAATCGGCAAGTGACCAGTCATCGCCTCGTATTCCTCTTGCACACGCTCACCCCTTCCTCTTTCTCTCACCCTTTCTGTGTGCGGTTGAACAGGAAGAACTGGAAAGACGAAATTCGAAAGAGTTTATATGTTTCATCGATTCGACCGATGGTTTGTATCTGAAAGTATACACAGTTTGCTGATCATCCTAGCCGATCACTGTCCTTCGACGATCCTCTTCAAGATGTTAAATGTGATTCGAATTTAACGCTGGAACTACCGAGCAGCTGATGTTCCATTAGTTCTTTATATGAGTGCGGCGGTGACGTTTGAGGAAGATCTGTTTGATGTTGGGAGTACCGAGAATTTCACGATTGACACGTGATCCTTGTGAAAATTGTAAGAATATCTCATTTCTCGGTTTCTTTGGGTATTCGTTATAGTAATAAAGTAGAACCGTTAATTTCTAAAAGCATTTCGGATGCTTAATACTTTGAATTTCGCTGGTAGTTCCAGTGTTAAACATTCGAGCCACTCAGCAGCCAATGCGGATAAGCGAATCTTCTTAATTTTAATGGAATATATAATATTCTACTCTCGCGGAGCTTACACTTTGGAAAAAGACTTTATATACTTTCCCGATGAAACTGATAAATCAAACATTTTAACAACCAATATATTAACCACTCAGCACTCCAGGTTGTTTTGTAATCTATCAGCAACTGAAACTAATTTTTACGGTATTCCTAGCGAAAATGAGAAATGCTGTAACATTCCTTCTATCTTCTATTTTCCTTCTCAGTAGAAAATTTGGATGTGTGGAAAATCTAATAGTTTTAAGGTAGTTTCTTTAAGACTCATTGAAATATTTAATATTCTAACTGGTGCAATATTGGAGCCTACAGAGTTCAAAGGGTTAAGAAATATGAATTTCCTCAATTCACGTTTCCCGGACTCAACCGCATCGGCTTCTAGGGCGCTCGTTCAGCCTCGGTCCGCAATCGTGCGTGAAACAAGTCCCAAGACGGTCGAAAACGTCTTATCCACGCAACGGAATCGTTTCCCCGTTTACGAGACTCGTCGTCCATTGTCGTGGCCGTCCCCGTTGCACTCGATGCGAATTCCCCGCCGGTCGTCGCTGCAATATTTGAAAAATAGCTGAACGGACATCGCGAGGTGGACCATTGTGAGATTGCAACCGCGGGACGTTTACCTGGCGTACTCTTTCTTCTCCCGGCCGATATTATAAAACCATCTGAAATTCTTCTCCACGTCCGTATTCAAACTGCCGCGTTTCCCGGACCTCGGCGGAGCTGGGAGCCGCTTGCCGCCCTTATCTTGGCCTCGATCGTGGTCCTTCACTCTGGGTCCACGCGCACCGAGTTCAGAGGGCTCAGTAACGTTCCGCGAAATTACAATGCTCCTCCAGAATTCCCTGTCTAGCGTCGGCTCCCTGGAAACCGAAGCTACCCTTATCTCGTCGGGATCCGCAGCGGAGTTCGTGGAATTCCGCGGAGTCTCCGGCGAGAATCCGAAAACGCTGCCCTGCCGGGCCGGCTGCCGTCCGGGGTAACTTCTCGTCGAGACATCGTTGCCCGGAATTCTATCGTGACTCGACCCGATCGTACTTTTTACGTCGGACATCCCCGGATCACTTGTATCCGCGAATTCCCCGGAGTTCGAGCCGGCAACGCCGCGATACCCCGTGGTTAGCGACTCCACCCCCGTGTCGACCGTATTCTCCTGATCTTCGGGATTCATGGGAGTATAAAACTGGGGGTGATCTCCTGCCCCGGCCGTCATATTTCTGGGATCAGCTTCCGCAATTTCAGTGGTCGTCGTTTGGATGTTACCGGCGAAACCTGATTCCTTTATCCCTTCCCCCCCTTTCGCAGCCCCTTCTTCTTCTTCTTCTTCTTCTTCTTCTTCTTCTCCTTCTCCTTCGAGATTCATAGTTCTCGATTTATGATCCCCGACAGAATTTAATGAAAAGGTGCTGCTGCCGGGGACCGTGCCGAATGTATTGGATTCTGATACCGGAAATGTAATTGGCTCGAAGCCGGCCGCGTCTACCTGCGCGGCGACTCCGCTTGATTTCGCCCCGACAAAAGCGTCCGCCGCGTGCTCGACCCCTCGGAAATGATCGGCGGTGCTTCCGACTTTTACAAGAGCCGCGCCGCTTTCATTTTGCGCGTCGTTCGCGGAGCTTTGCCCTTTCACCGGTCCCTGGCTGGTCGAAAACGGTTTCACCGTGAGAAACGTACCGCCAGCGCCATTCATCCCTCGCTCCGCTTCTGTTGGACGCTGGCTCGTTCGCCTGGAACCTTCGTTAATTGTGCCGTTAGTCGGATTATTATCCGAGTAATTCTGGTTTTCGCCGATTGAATTCGTAGGACCGTTGCTGCTAGTTTTCTCGCCGATAGATGTAACGCCGGTCAGAGGCGGGTCGTTGCGTATTCCATCGGTAGCCTCACGTTCGCCATCCACTTCCGCTGCATTCGAGCCGGCGAGGGTAGTTTCTTCGACTTCTCGCGGGTGGAAGTGTTCGCTGCCCGGGGCAGTCGACGAAGTGAAACTTCCAGCGGTTTTATTTGTTTCTCTTGAATCGTGTATCGGCCGGCCGTATCCCTCGGCTTCTTCCCGGGAAGTGGTTCCGCGAGCGAACGGAACCGTTCGGCTGGCGAGATAAATCAACGGATGAGGTGTAACGTAGAAAACGGACCAGTGAAATCGAGGATTATCTACATCTGATTACAAGTGTACAATTACTATCGCGTAACCATCTGTTCTATCGGAAACATCGATGTTCGTTCATTTAGATCTTAGAAACGCTGAATCGACTTTTTCAAATCTTACGGTAACTTCGGGAGTCTACTAATTGAATTCGCGCGTTACCGGAATCGTTCGTCGTAAATAATAAGTTCGCAGTGTTAATTCGACGTATCAATTACTTCGACGCAGCAGAGAGTACTAATTCGCACTCGCGTCGGAGAGTTGCCGAGTAAATAAAGGATAAACTATAAACCAACAGGGCTGCAACTCGGAAATAAGTGAACCGCGTGACTAAATACAAACAAGTCGCACGTGTAGCATCCCGTGTACCTTCTAATACGAACCTGCTGGCGGTCGGGCGGGCGAGCTTCGTGATATCGAAGCGCTCGCCGGGTCGAAAGTGAGCGACCGCTAGAATTCTGAAAAGACGACCCAGTTTCTCCCGTAAAATCGAGCCCTCGGGTTGCGCCCTTTGCAGGAGCAACAGTCTCGCCCAGTCGGATCTCAAAGCGCCAAAGGGCAACGCGGTCGCCGGACATTTGAACTCGCCAATCATCATATCGATCGTCGGCACGTTCTCCAGATGAACTTCCGACAAATAGTCCTCGAGCTCGCCGATATCGAACTCCAGGCAATCGACCGGCAACACGGTCGAGGGGCTTGCTTCTACGAGAAAACCACGTGCTTCTTTTTTCCCCTTCGCTCTTCTACCTCGTTCCCGTTCCGATTCTCCGACAGCGCCCGCGTTTGAGCGTGCTTCAAACGTTTTTGGATACGACTTCCAGAACGGCACGTGGATACTTTGATATTCTTTGGAAATGCCGGAACCTGCTTCGAGAATTTTAACCCTTAACGGACCGGAAGTGTTTCAAGGTTACTTAACGCGAAAAAATACCGTAGCATAGACAACGAGTAGAAACAAGTTCACAGAAGTGACCCGGCACGACACTTGGCGTGTTTATTATAAACACCAGAGGAATAACAGCGATAAGTGAAATGATTCTTGTCGCCATATACAAAGCATTGGACTCGGTAAATAAAAGTGCCGTGCCGCTTATATGGCGACGCTGCTCCGATAAGGGTTAATATAATACGAGGGGTCGTAACCTATCTATTTCCAAAGAGATCAAATTCCATTCTGAAATTTCCATTTTCGATGCTTCTAAATTCCAATACGTTCGATAGGAAACTTTAAAATATCTCAACAGTCTCGACGGGAGTTTCGATATTCAATAGAACTGTTAATCCTGGAAGTCGTCCCGCACCGGTCACTGCCAAGAAACGATCGCGAGCGCAGCAAAGAAACCGGTAGACAACAGGCGTTTCGTCGAAGACTATTCACTTGTCCCTCTGCTCGTTTCGTTATCAGCGAAACTAAGTTCGCCGAAGGGACGAAAGCTGTTTACCTCATTTGGAATTAACAAGCCGCGTACCCGAACTAATTAGAGGGAGTATAAGACACTTACTGCGAAGAATGGAGAGGAACAGGGCCAAGGAACAGACGTGCGAAAGAACTTCTCGCGACATGATTACTGCGCCGACTGAACTCGCCCAGCCGTCTATATTCTATTTCGTCGGAATCGGCAGATTTTCGAACCGACAGATGCTTGCGGATTCCTGGGACACGTGACAGGTGTCGGCAGGAAGTGCCTCTTGCCGAACAACCGAGTCGCGACCTTCCGCTGAGCTACTCCCTCGCGAAGAGCATCGTTAATAACGCACTTAACGCTAGAACTAGCGAACCGAACCATCAGAATTTTCACGTTATACACTGGAGAAATCATTGAGACATCGTTGAAACAGATCTGATTCTGACAGTTCTAGCGTTAAAAAAGAATCGCAACAATTTGAAATGTAACAAGTGACCGACTGATATATTCCGTGTTATCTTTATTATCATCATGATCATCATTAATATTAATATTAATATTCTTTATCATTATTGTTACCACCTCATCATTCATCGTCGTGATCATCGTGACCGTTATTATTATCATTACTATTATAATATTTTGCTCCACAAATATACTCGCGCGCCTTATCTATTTATATGTGTCTAAATTTGTATCATTTGTTGGTAGTTTATTTGTTTGTTTGTTTGTCTGAGACCCTGAGACTACGATTCTACCTCCACGGCGAATCGATAAAACGTACACAAAGGAAATGCTCGTTAAAGTCGTGGAAATACAACCTAACAAAACCGACGATCAGTAAAAATATTTCTCCGTCCGGCTCTCCGTTCGCGCGAGAGAGAACGCGCACCGGGTCCGGGCCCGTTCACTGTTACGGTATCATTCGTGGAACATAGGTAACATCACGCCAGCGACGGGTCTGCATATCTTGCGCGACGATCCAATCGTCGGGAGAGATCCACTTTAAAAAAGAAAAACAAAAAAGATTCGTCGGACAGACGAAAAGCAACGATCAACGCTAGAACTACCGGGACGAATCGCAACGTTCCATTTTGGAGTCCACCGTTTTATACCGTTCGAAAAGATACACGCGGTGTTTCGCCGGGAAACTTCTAGATAGATCGATTCAGCAGTGTGCATTCCGAAATACGAGCGAATAGAATCTGAGATAAATGCACTGTTGTAGTTACCGTAAGAAAATATCAGCGATTCGAGGGCTCTCGCTAGTTCTAGCGTCGACGACACGGTGCGTTCGAAAGTTTATTTAAAAGTACACCTACCAACAGTGTCGTAGGCCTCTGCATTTCTGTTCGCGCTCGGAACGAACGGTCCTTGTTCGCGGCGAACGAAATAAAATAGAAAAGAAACGAGCCGCGCGAATCGACGAACGCGGACGAAACAGTCGTGCGCGACGAGCGTCGCCTCGAGTGTCACTGGGCCGCAACGAATGAATGTTCAACTTCGCTTTTGCCACGTGACGCGTCGAGGAAAAGAGCAAAGGATAAAAATGGACAAGCTGCTCCTTTTGTCTATAAAAATTCGCCGCGTCGTCCGGCTCCCGCGAGTCAAGAAACGAACCGAAAGAAACAGGGCACACGGTGCATAAAATTGTCAGGCTGTCAACTGTTTCGCATCGTATATTTAAATGCAGGAAGATTAAACAAAGTTTCGAACGTTCGCAGAACCGCACACGTGATACAGAAACGAAAGAAACCGAGAAGGACGCCGCGATCGATCGGTCGAGAGAAACAATGCATCCCAATCGCGTATCACCTAATATTATTGCACTCTAAAACATTTTACACGACTATTATTCCCGCGCGCAGAGATCGCTCGGGTTCTGGCCGATTCGATCGATCGTTGGCCAAATCTCAACGTTCGATCACAATAAAATATTCATTTACAACGATTTTTTTTCTCTCTTCTTTCGATAAATAATTTCTCTTTTCTTCTCTTCTCATCTAATATCGGTTTGCTTTCAATACACCGGAAACAACGAGACGCTGATCCATCGGATCGGCGAGAACCTTGCCGGCGATTCGGACGCGAGCGAAACGACAAAGAAAAAACTTCGCATAATTTTGTTTAGAAAAGCGTGTCTCCTCCTCCTCCTCCTTTTCCTCCTCCTCGTCCTCCTGCTTTAGAGAAATGAACTTCCTTGCGTGTGAGTAGCAGCTCCGAGACGACATTTGACCGATTTCAAATTTTCGTACGCTCCGAGGTAAGCGATATTATGCGCAAGATCCGTGCGCACAGATCTCGGTAACAGTAGTAACTAGACAATAAAGATCCCTGAATACATGTAATATAATAATATATAATATAATATATTCTCCTACGCTCTCTGTGTGGCACGCGCGAATAACATTTTTTCTTCTTTCCGCAACCATTTCAACAATCGATTAAATTTCTTTTTCTTCCCTCTCTCTCTCTCTTTCTTTCTCTTTCACCCTCTTTCTCTCTTTCTCTCGCTCTCACGCACTCTCTCACCCTCTCTCTCCCTCTCTTGCTCGCGCTCTCTCGCTCACTCTCTCTCTCTCTCTCTTTCTCTCTCTTTCTCTCTCACTGCCTCTCTCTCCCTTTCTCTTGCTCTCTCAAGAACCTGGCAACCAGGCCAGTGGTTCGTCTCCGAAACAATTATTCTTTCTTTTCTTTTATCAATGGTATTCCTTGAGAAAGGAAAAATCAAAACAAAAAAAGAGCATGGCCGAAAAATTGGAGAACGATCCAGCCATTCTTTCGCTTTTTTCCTTGTTCATTGGCCAGCTTAGCTCTTGTTTCGCGTTAAATTTGATTCAATTTGTACAACGGCGCATACTAAATTCATTTCGCTGAACTAGAACTATGGATGTTCAATGCAAGTACATACATCGACTTTTTTTTTTCTTTACATTCACATCGGTCGATACGGTTCGATAGTATTAAAATGTGCAGTTACTCTACATACAAAACGGTACGTACTCTTCTCACCGCGACGTTTATAGTAAAAATATATAGAGTTACCGTCCTTTTTCTAGTTCCCCGAAATTGACAGACTCGCCCTCCGCCAGAGAAAAGACGTAACTAAAATAACTGCAGGGCCTACGCGTACAATTTTGATTGAACTGGTAGTCATTTGGTAACACGATGCTAACTATGTAACGTCAAACACCCACAGTCAGTTACAATTTATTTCCTTTGATTTCTACGATCACCGGTGTGTCTGTGTATGTATGCGTGTGTCGGCGTCTCTCACACGATTGGTTACCGATCAATACACGTAAATGAAAACGTTTCTTTTTTTTTCCTTTTTTTCTCTCATTCTTTTTTTTGTATCTTTTTTAATATATTTTTCTATTTGGTAGGTTGCTCTGTCCGTCGGACAGACTTTCGTATAGACTATCCTAAAGTGAGAGCTCCAGGGGAAAAGCGTCTCGCGTCTTGTACTAGGTACCGTACCCTATCCTGAAATAACATCGTTTTAGTTTTCTCTGTACCTGTAAAAGGGGTACTCGAAAAGGAAAGTTTGGTTACTTCGACGAAAGAGTGTGTGCCTGCCTGTCTGCTATCCCTAAACGGTAGTATTTCGCGAGTTTTCACGACTGCTGGAATCACTGGCCAAAACCTTCGCGCTCCCACGCATTCGCACTCTGTGAAAAATAAAGCCCTT